TCAAAATATATTAGTCTTTAAAGGACTAAATAAAGTGTTCATATATATATATATATAATAGGCCTAATACTAATGTCTTATGGTAAATACAATTATATTGCATTCTTATCTTTATAAATAGAAACGTAGGAAAAATATACTGAATTAGCTATACTGCTGACCATGTTGATTTTTTAGTTTCGCTCTAAGTATATAGCTTAGTCCGATCGGAAGTTATTATCATTAGTACTGCATGCCATCAATTCTGAGTGAATTCAATGTCCATTTACAACCTTGCTTCTAACACATAAACTAAAGTGGTATTAAGAAGTTAAGTAGGTGTTAAAAAAGAGTTAGGCATAGTATAATGAGACTTCAGAAAAATATGAGCAGTTCTAGTTTCAACTGTTCAAAGCTTGTTTTTGTGTCATTTTTATCCATGTTTAATGAGAAGTGATGAATAAAAAACAGGATCGTAAACATACCCATAGTCATCAATCAAAAGGATCATATCAGAACCTTCTCCACTTCTTGCAACGAGGCCACTTCCGGATATTCCGAACACACCTGTAATAGTAAATATAATAAATTCCTTTCTTTCATTAACTTTTCATACTCAGAGTATCAAAATAATTTCAGTTAGTTAGTTGGAATATGACTTGGTGGTTTTCTTTCCTAAGAGAAGTAGCCGCCTTCTATGTTTTAAGAATACTTGTCAGTCCTAATTCGGACCTTCTAATAATAAGCATTAGTCCTAATTCAAACCTAGTAATACGTGTTAGTCCTAATTCAAACCTAGTAATAATATGTGTTAATCCAAATTCAAATCTAGTAATACGTGTTAGTCCTAATGCAGACCTTCTAATAATACTTGTTAGTCCTAATTCAGACCTTCTAATAATACTTGTTAGTCTTAATTCGAACCCAGTAATACGTGTTAGTCCTAATTTAAAACTTCTAATAATACTGTTAGTCATAATTCAGACCTTCTAATAACACTGTTAGTCCTAAATCAAACCTTACAATAACACTGTTAGTCCTAATTCAACCCTCTGTTTGTTCGTTTACTGAATTTCGCACAAAACTACTCAGGGGCTATCTACGCTACCTGTTTCTAATTGTGAAGTGATAAAATCGAAAGAGGGCAGCTAGTCAACATCGCCAATTTTGGCTATTCTTTACCAGCGAATAGTGGGATTTACCGTCACATTATAACGCCCCCACACCTGAAAGGGCGAGTATGTCCGGTGACGAGATCCGAACCCGCAGATTGTGATTCGAACGCCCTAACCATCAGTCCATACCAGGCCTACACATTCAGACGTTCAATCAGTGTTTTTTGTTTTTCTATGAACGATCTAATTTATCCTAGCAAAAATATAAAATGATTTACAACCTCAAACTTAAACCTTGAACTGTTGAAAATTAATCGTACTTAACAACAATAATATTCCTAGTCTCCTGCTGTCCTTGGAACTACTTTTCCGTGCTTTATCATACTCAGTCTGATGACCATCATTAAGTACTATTTTTCGACACTACAATTTCTGCGAAGGACAGAGAGGTCAATCACCCATCTTAACAATCATTTTACAGACCTTCCACAGCCTGTGGATATCAGCTTCCAAGGCCGGTTTACACAGGCTAAAGGCTCACAAATCTATCTTGAGGTGCCTCAAGAATTTGAAAAACACTACACAACAATCACCTTATGTAACATTTTTGTTGTTGTTGTTTGAAGTTAAGCAAAAAGTTACACAATGGGCTATCTGTACTCTTCCCATCACATGTATCGAAACCCGGTTTCTAGCGTTGTAAGTCCACAGTCATTCTGCTGGGCTACTGGGGGCTTCTCTTATGTAACATTTTTGCTACACTATAAACCCCTCTCTTATG